CACCTGCAAGACAAGAAAAATAATGTTAGGAGGCTGCCATAGCTGACTTTAGGGGCTGGACTTGACAAAGGAAGCAAGAGGGAACCCCACCTAGTCTATTTTCGCACAAAAGGATGGTGCTGGTTGTCTCCCTCCATGAGTGATGTTATACTCGACCAAATAAGGTGAATGAGGTGTCCTTGGATAGACTTTGAAGTCTAGTTTCTTATTTGAGTGGTCTCTGTTCGAGAAGGGAGAGTTTATCCCACGAAAACCGAGCTGGAGTGAACTGCTGTCTGTAAACTCGAGCAGTGAGAGTGCTGAAGCTGTTTGGTTGATATCTCGAGTTATACAAATCCAATTAAGGCGAGTAAGATACCAAAAGAAAGCTCTCAAGACGAGGAATCCGTGAAGTTCTGGTTTGCATCAATCGGAGTAGTGGAAAGCTTCCAAATCGTCCGAGCAAAACGCAACCTCGCAGAAACGGATCTACACTTCTAAAGTGAGTTGTTAACCTCAAAACCTTTCCTTTCATTTTCCAAATGATATGAACGATTGGTGGAACTATTGTACACTAATCCAAGTGTATAATATGTCCTTATAAAGTTATTTTATTGATGTAAAGGTTAGATACTAACCTAGAGCAAATCTTGGAAAACTAGGAAACGAGTTAACCGGAAAACACCCATTCTATGGGCTGTTTTTGTATCGACGATTAGGGGTTGAACTAGCACTTTGAGGAGGCTGTTTAACACTCATTTATAAGCAAGGAATCAGTTCTCAAGCTCCCTTGGCCGAGGCTTTGGTCATTGGATCGAGAAGGAAAGTTTTAAAGCTCATTTGAGGTGAGGATTGACATCTAATTGCTTACAACTTGTAGGTTAAGCATGAGATTACCTAAATGCCTAAATCATAACTTTTATGGATTATGATGATTATATAATGAAGAAATATGGATATAGTTGCCAAAGAATGAAATTGGAAATGATTTGAGAATGTATGAATAAAATGAGATTAAATGAGTTATAAATGAACTATTTTGTGAAATAGGCATTTTACTCATGTATGAATTATGTGGATACATAAATGAATGTTTATGTATTGAGAATTTGAGATAGAACACTTAAGTTACTGCTACATAATTATAAATATGTAGAGGATTACAAATAATGAGCATATTTGTATGATAACAATAATCTTAATAGTATTGAAATACTAGTTAGTGATTATTGGAAATTGTTGATGGAATTGATCCTAGGGATTGGATTGTATGAAATGCACTTGAATATACTTCAAGTGTATATGGTGACTTAGTATGAAACTAAGGTTAAGTGGTGGGAAGTCTTTAAGGATGACCCATGGTAGTTTATTGATATGTCAATTCTAGGCATAGGGTTGCTTAAGAATTGGACCTTCATGCATGGTGATGTGATAGAGCCGAGCTCTAGGATGCATGGTAAGGTGGTAGATTTGTAGTCTATGTATCGAATAGCTAGAGCCGAGCTCTAGGGCTTGCGTGGTGATGTGATAGAGCCGAGCTCTAGAACGCAAGGTAAGGAAATTGACCCGAGTGACATGAATTGTATGGTGATGTGGTAGAGCCGAGCTCTAGAATACAATGTCATGTGTTAGGGTTGGACTCTAGGAGTTGTCGTGGCTTATAGCCACGGGGAATGGGAATGGTGATTTCTAAATGAACATGGGCCCACAGGCCGACTACTTGACTTTTACATAAAGTAAGTATATTTTCAAACGGGGTAACTTAGGGTTACAAATCATAATGTACTATCACCCTATTTGAGGGTCTTGTGTTTGAAATACTTGTTGTATATCTATTAGATGCCTGCCACACCAGTACTTTATAGCCGTATAGAGTACTGACCCCTTCGGGGGCGTCCCACCACCATTTCAGGTTAAGGCTAGAGCTTGCATCCTGTGCTCGTTGATCGAGTGATCCCTCGGAGAGAAGACTTGGTTCGTGCTTCCTCCATTCTATTTGAAACATTAATAAATTTGCTCATGGATATTTCACTATAGAGCCTGCGTGCTCATGAATAGCCCTGTGTGGCTCTTTTGTTTTAAACAATGTTTTCCGCTGCGTTATGAATTACTTATTATGATTGTTAATGGATGTTATGTGTGTGAATGATATTCAAGACGCCTTGTATAATATGAATGTGTTGGACTGCGGTTGACTATTCGTATTGTACGGCGGGTTGTTGACGTGTCCGGGGAGGTCCGGGGCGTGACATTATCCATTGGATATAGGAAACCACCAATAATTTGAGAACTACTTTTCCTTCGATAATTCGAAATGCTTCATATATTATGTTCAAAGAAAATACGCACATTTGGAAATACTTTGCATAGCTCATATTTCATTCAATTTATATGCTATTTATATATTTCAAGTTTATGCAATACACGAGTGACCAATAATATGTAAAAAACATTATTTGAGTTCTAATTGTACTCCATATATTTTTAGTTGAAAAAGTAACTTATTAGGTAGTTTCGTTTCGTATTTGTGTGTGTGTGTTTTTAATAAACATTTATCGAATTTTATTGATGAAAACGGAACTAAAGTACATGATGGGGGATTAGGCCTTAGCCAAATAAAGCAAGAGTGAGAAAAAAGTGAAATAGCACGTAAATGTGAACGAAGAAGCCCATGCCACCAACGTTAGGCCATAACATCAATCGCCAATTCCCAAGCCCAAAATAATCAGGCCCAATAAGACAGTCTCAAATCACACTGCTCAAATGCAAAGAAAACCCTAAACAAAACTCATCATGATTCATTGCCCTGTGGTACTAACTTACTACCCAAAGCTAAACTGCAGTGATAATAATTTAGAATAGGCCAACTAGTCCTTACTCCCCTAACGTACAATAATGTGCACAAGACACTGTACCGACCCCTGTTGTCGTGGAGAAGATTCTCAGTGCATCCCGTCATCCAGACCCAATCGCCGGCAAAAATCACCTCCAAGCAGATCATGTACTACGTCTCCCTTGGAACACTAATGCATGCGTCTCATAGTTAATAATCTAAGAGGAAATTGCTTCCGGCAGGAGTAAAAGATAAAAAGTTTACAAAAATAGAACTCATTTATGTTTTTTCCATGCGTGTGACTTATATGGTCTTGTTTTAGAAAATCATATTTTCACTTCCCATTTTTACCCTTGACTTGAGTAACCCATCTGAAGAAGAAAAATACAGAGCGACTTCCGATCCCAAGATTTCCCCAACTCTCGTTTATGTCTCTCCCGCTTCACTGGTACTAAAATCGATCTGGAAGCTTGAAATCGATCGACATGGCCTCACCAACCTGGTTTTGGCCGGATACATCGGCTAAATTCTGGCGGACCTTGGCTCCGGAGTCTACGGCTCCACCATTAATGGCCTTCGACGATTTTACAGAGGGCTAGATTACCTATTTTGCTTCTTTGCGGAGTTTTTGACAACCACTCGTTGTAATTTCATCATTAGATATAGTGAATTGTATATATATTGTTTTACATGACCTGCTCTGCTATTGAGCTATTATCAAAACTTATTGTCTGTTTAATGACTACTTATTGTCTATGTATCGCCTGATATTGAACTATTATTGGAACTTATTGTCTGTTTATTGACTACTTAATGTCTATGTATTGTCTAGTGTTTGCAAGTTTGATTTTGGATGTGGTTTCTTCAAACGTTTTGCAGAGTACCTGGTGAACTTTGTGAAAATATGAAATAGAAGTTCGAAATTGGCAAAATCAATGTCCAAAAGAAGAAGAAGAAGCAGGAGGAGGAGGAGGAGGAGGAGGAAACATTTGGCAGTGGCGTCCGATGAAGGCAACCGGAGCAGTTATCCAGTGCGTCAGCGACGGTGATTTCGACATTGTGAAATCATCGGCGGTGGTAATTCGATCGATATGAATCTATGAAGTTGTTTGAAACGAAGGAACGAAGGTCAGGGGATGCGCAAGGGTGTCGATCAGTGAAGTTGTTTGATGCGCTGGGGGTTTTAAAACGAAGGACAAGTTCTCAAAAAAAAACGAAGGGCAGTTTGGTCAAAGCATGTGTACTTAAGTCTTACCCTAATCTATAGTCAAAATTTTAGAAAATTAGTATGATTAGGTTCTACTTGTTGAAATCTCTCATAATCTAAGTGGAATTAATGATATTGGTTTTATATCTACTTTTTATATCTTTTTCATACTTTTAAATATTCCCTCCTACTTTTTGTACTTTAGAAGCACGGAAACTCTTCATGGCTCACGTTTCCATGTTTCGGAAACTCGGAAGCGTTTTGGAAACTCGGAAACTTCAAATTCCCGTTTCGGGGCCGTTTCCGTAATTAAGAAAAATTTGGAAACTCGTTTCACTACGTTTCGGAAACCTTGGATTCCAATTTTTTTCTTTTTCAAAAGAATCTGTGGTGGAAAATATTTTTTTATAGTGAATTTTTGTGGTATTTCTCAGTGGCAACACTTGTTACATTGTGTAACGCAATGTATTGCTAGAAATCAATTACTCCGTACATTTTAGGTTTAATTATGTACTAATATATATGTAATAATATCTAAATTCGAACATGTAGAGTGATTTTATTATTTGGTTACTAAACAAATTATATTAAAAAAACATGTGCATATAGAAAAACTTGTGTACATATATTAAAAAATATTTATAAATATATCCTTATATTTTATAATATTTACGCGTTTCCCCACGTTTCGTGTCCTATATTTTTTAGAAATTACGTTTCTCGCGTTTCCCGTTTCCCGTTTCACGTTTCCCGTTTCCCGTTTCCGTGCTACTTAGCTACTTAGATTTGAAAAAGAAGAATAGGATAATAAGTTAGTGAGTATTTTTTTTAGGGGTATTCTCATAAAAACTCCGCTGGCTTATGTGATGCATCGAGTTTGGAACTGTTTTTGTTTCTTTTTCAAAGCAGATCCAAACACCTAACACACTTTAGATGAAAACTATCAAATAGGTATTCGAACTTTCATAAAAAAGTCAATTAAGTTCTGGTCCCAATTCTTTTTTAGTTCTCTGCCTGCGAGGAACAGAGAAAATGCATCCGTGAAGAAGATGGAGAGTGGTTCTGAAAGGGAGAAGACGATGGCGGCACGGCTGATAGAGAAGGCCACAAACTCAACCAGCCCCGAAGTGGATCCGCGCCTTCTTAAAGCCATCAAATCCGTCGTCCGGCAATCCGACTCCGAGTTACGACTTGCTGCCCAAACCCTAATGTCCCTCATGAAACGCGACCACTCTCAGGTTACGTGCTTTGACACGTTCCATTCATCTAATGCCCAATTAATATCACTATCTCTGCCTTTATAAATAAATGGCAGGCATTCCTCGATGCAGGACTAGTTATGCAATTCAATTTTACTCCCCTTTCTGGAATTATAATTGGGAAATTTAAATATCGATATTTGCATTGGAAATGATATAAAAATGATTACGTAGTAATATTTATGATTCGGATGTTAAATTTCAGTATGCCTTTTAATCATCTGCAGGTTAGGTATCTTTCACTTCTTATCATAGATGAAATCTTCATGAGGTCGAAGCTTTTTCGGGCTATACTTGTTGAGAATTTAGATCAATTGTTAACCTTAAGCGTAGGATTCAGAAAAAACCTACCTCTCCCTGCCCCTGCTTCTGTTGCATCTGTTTTGCGTGCCAAGGCGATTGAGTTTCTGGAAAAATGGAATGATTCATTTGGAGTTCACTACAGGCAGCTTAGGCTAGGGCATGATTATCTGAAAAACACACTTCGTTTTCAGTTTCCCAACGTGCAAGCAAATGCATTGAGGATTCAGCAGGAGAGAAGAGATAGAGAGATGAGGACAAGAGAAATTTTGCTAAAAAAGTTTGGTACTTTCAAGGAGAATTTTTGTTCAATCAAAGATGAGATTCACTCAACAACTGATGAAATTAGCACATGTTTAGACATTCTTAACAGTAAGGATGAGGATGAGGGCATGCCGTTGGTTCCATTAGACGATGAGGAAGAAGTTGACGAGTTCCGCAACTATGAACTGCGACAACTCCGTCTTGATTGTTTGGTGGACGGGGAAAAGGTTAGAGAGAGTACTGACAATAAGGTCATCTTTGATGCATTGAGGGAACTCTATAAGGTTCTAATGACCAAACATATGGTTGCGGTTCAAGAATGGATATCAGTTCTCATACGAGTGGAAACGGAGGATACCAGGTTTAGGGACATCGCTCTGAAAGACTTCATTGACATTCGAAATCATCTCAAATCTGTAAAAGCAAAATGTGAAGCCTCAGGTTGCACTCTTTCAAAGATTAACCATGGGGAGGATGATGATGTCATCTGGGAAGATGGTGATATTAGATCATTCGAGCCTACACAGCCTGTCGATACACAAAACAAAATGAAGGATGGCGTGAGATGTGAAGCTTCTTCTCAAAACAGTAATGGACATCCAGAGGGGGATGCAAAAAAAATCAGCAGTGAATCAAATCCATTGCATGCTGAACTATTAGGCAAAGCTCCAGTCATAAAGTGGGGGCCTCTCTTGGATAACTGGGGCTCAAAGCGGGTTTTTTTGGCCAACCAAAGGGGTTTGGATCTTGACAGCCACTGGGGTAGGGTAGACTATGATGCGATCATTCCAGCTGAGAAAATTGCAGAGCTGAATGTGTATACAACTGTGTATAGAGAAGATCCTGTTGAAATCCAACCATGTCATGCTCCTTTATTAAGGAAAGGTGGACTTTGCCAGAGGAGAGACTTGAGAGCTTGTCCATTCCATGGGGTCATAGTTCCTCGCGATGATGAAGGAAAGCCTCTCATTCCTCAAGACAAAGGAAAGACTATTCATGAGTGCTCTTCAATGGTAGATTTGACTCAACTGGCCAGACAAGCAGTGAAGAACGTCCGGGAGAGAGATAAAGTTGAAGCAAAGAAGGATGTGAGTTTGAAGAGGGCAAAGCGAGCGAAGGTACGAGAACACAATGAAGCTGTTCTTCGTGACGCTGCGCTTGCATCATCTTCAACTTCTTATTATGCTGAAGAAGAGCAATATACAGCCAGCGGAGCAAAATCTCGTGCAGAAAGAAGCAAAAAAGAAACCCTTGCATCTATGTTGAAAAAGAAGAAAGAAACCAGTAAAGACAGATTGAGTAAGAAGCTACTCAATTCACGCGCAGGAGATGCTACATGCCGAGAGCTGACGGCAGCAGGGGATGCAAATTATCGTGAGGCCTTCCCTAATCAGTGGTAGAAAATGAAGACACACCTATGGGGAGTGCTGGCAAGGCCTGGTCTAGTTGTTCCACCAAAAGTGTATTGAGGTTGATAAGTTGTGCGCGCAGTTGATGTTTTGTATATTCCCCTCTTTTTGAACTTCCCTCTGGGGCTTCAGTTTAACAAATTGTTAATTAGTTGTTTACACTTTACATAAGAAAGAATGTAGTGCAATCTTCTGTAGTTTGTTCAAGTCATGATTCTTGACACGAGGGTTAGAAAAAACAGTTATGGTTTACATTTTTTTGGGTTAAGTTAGAATTAAAGTTGTTGAGTAGGGGTGTGCACAATTCCGTAAACCGACTAAATCAAACCGATACCGAAATTTCGGTACCTACCAAATACCGAACCAAAATTTTGCTTCGGTAATCGGTACGTATAATTTTGAAAATTTGGTATTCGGTTTGGTAAATATTTTGGTTTTCGGTATGTACCAAATACCGAAATTTATAAAATAATAAATATTAAATATATAATATATTTATATATTTTGGCCATAAATATATAAATATTCATATGTGTGTGTATATATATATATATATATATATATATATATACTCCGTATATATTTCGTTATGTATTATATATTTATATTGAATATATATATTTATATATAAATATATATATATATATATATATAGGGAGGAGATCACATACAAACAATGCTTCCCATACAAAATGCAAAGCAATCTCGTGCATCCAATTTAGACAAATCAAGGGCTGAAAACATGTTACACACCGTAACATGCCGTGCGCTGCGTAGGAGGGTAATGGGACAAAACATCAACCGTTTAGTAAGTAAGGGTGAAAAAGTAATTTGACAAATGTTAAATGGGAACCGCCAAATACGTATAAGGAAGGAAATCATAGAAATTGCGCTAATCCCCAATCGATTTCAAGCACCCATGAATAGCTAGCAAATCAAAAAGGAAATTTGCAGAGCTTTGTCTAATAGTTAATGCACCAACCAACCAAAGGTAGAAGAAGAAAGAAGGTTTCTCTGTGAGCGGAAAAATCTTGACGGTCGACGAAGGACGCCGTCTGTGGATATCAAGGACGGTTGATATCAGGCCCATTAATGCATAGGGCTTCAGTCCAAGAAGAACACACATTTCGACATACTATTGTGGCATTCGAAGAAGGTGAGTTTTTTAATTTTTTTTGTATTGAATAGATTAATATGTTTGCATGGACAATTTTTTATTTGATATGCACTAAAAGAGTTATGTGGATGCATTTGGGGTGGACGTCAGATTGATTGAAGTTTTTTTAGTTGTTTTATTGTAATGAGTAAATTTCTTTGCTAACATGGACTGCCACTTGGATGAAGTGTGCATCTTAAGGATCAATGAAGTGCATTTTGATTATGAAGGTAGGTTTTGTGTTCATAATTGGTGTTCCTATTATCAGATTTGTGCAGTTGATTGTGGGTTTTATGTGTTGGAATTAATGTGCAAAATAGTCTAGATAAAGGTGCAATTGGGGTGGACGTCAGATTGATTGAAGTTTTTTGAGTTGTTTTATTGTAATGATTAAATTTCTTTGCTAATATGGACTGCCACTTGAATGAAGTGTGCATCTTAAGGATCAATGAAGTGCATTTTGATTATGATGGTAGGTTTTGTGTTCGTAATTGGTGTTCCTATTATCAGATTTGTGCAGTTGATTGTGGGTTTTACGTGTTGGAATTAATGTGCAAAATAGTCCAGATAAAGGTGCAATTGAATGGTCAATGTGGATGTTGTATATGGGAGTTAAATTGCAGACTGAGAAAGGTAGGGTGCAGTTCAAGAAAAAGTATGGTTTATGTAATTGAGTTTTGTGCATGTGAATGTTGATTGGTTTGTGATTGAATTAATATACATATGAATCTTCATTTTTTTTTAATGATGGAGCTTGTATGCAAAGTAGTTAGGTATAGGTGCAAAAAAGTATTAGCTTTTATTTAAGTGCACTGTGTTTAAGTGAAATATGAATCAGCAGGGATACTGATTTTGTGTTTTTTATATCTAGGTGATTGAATATGCAGAAAAAGTGTACCAGGGTGCAATTTATTGTAACCGTGTGGTGCATGTAAGGAATAAGAAATGATAGTATGTAAGGAAAAAGGAATGGTAGTACGAACAAATTGTACTAGTTGAGTGAATATGCATTGAAGTGAATAAAGAATGATATTATGTGGTTATGTTGTGATTAATACCAATCTCCATGTAGTAATGATGCATAACAGTACAGTGAAAGTGCATTTGAAGGTGCTATTTAGTTCATTTAGTGATGAATTTCAGTATTTAACTAAACTAACAAATGTAGGAACGGGAGAAAACTGCGAAACAATACCACAAAAGAGAAAGAAAGCATGAGCATGTGGGAGTAAGTTCACAAAGAAGAAAAAGAAGGTAATTAATAAGGGGAAACAAGTACAAGTGCAGCTATATTGTGAAGGTTAGAAAAATATAATTTGGAGTGGAGGGACACCGAGAACGTTTATGACTGTGGCATCTTCACAATGTGGCATATGGAAACACATCGAGGTGAAGGTTTGCAACTTGCAAGGATGGAATATTGGGCTGAAGAAAACAGACACCAAATTGATAGGGACATTACGCGTGAAGTACATCTCAGCATTTCTCCTGAATGAAAAGAATGAGTATATGCAGTAAAACTTAGTGAAGGCAAGGAGTTTGCCAAGAAAGCTAAAGAACAAAAACAAAAGGGAACAACGCCCAATGAATGAATTCAGTGATATTTGAATTTGATATCAATTTGACTCTGTTTTAACATTACAGTTTTACAATGACATGTTTGGATTTTACAATTAAAGTCTGTTTTATGCTTAATTTTTGTGTGTGAAACTTGACGTTGAATACAGTTTGTTTTAATGTATGTTCGGGGTTTACGTGAGTCTTTTTTATAATTTGAATGATTCTTGAAGTTGAATGAAATGCATAACATACAATAGTTCCAAATAGCCATTATTTTACACATACATTTTATTGCACAAAATACAAAATAATTACTAATGCAACGTTTGTAAATCTAGGGTGCACTTAAAAATACGTTCGTGTGCAAATTAAGTAATAATTACATAATCAATAAATCTCATTAATTTTTTAGTGTACATTTAGTGTTACAAAAAAATTGTATGTGTATTTACTGATTAAAACAATTATGAGAAAGCACCAAAGTATGAAGGGAAAATTAAACGTAATACAATTAGTAGTGGATAATGCACCATTTGTGAATCTAGGGTGCACTTCAAAGTATGTTCGTGTGCAAATTAAGTTATAATAATTACATAGTCAATAAATCTCATGGATGTTTTAGTCAATAAATGGTGAGATGTGTGAATGTGTACATCTAGTGTTTCAAAAATATTTGCATGCGTATTTACTGATAAAAACAATTATGAGAAAGCAACAAAGTATGGAGAAACAAATAAAACCTAATAAAATTAGTGGTGGCTAATGTACAAGTACAGGGTGCACATCAGTGTACTTACATATGCATTTAAATTATACGTACAATGCATTCAAAACTTGAACGTCAAAACATGTACGTGTGCAGATCTATTATTTAATTAATTACTAATGCACCCATTGTAAATCTAAGGTGCACTTCAAAATATGCATGTGTGCCAATTACTTTAAAATTACATAGTCAATAAATCTCATGAGTTTTTCTAGTAAATAAATGGTGAGATGTGTGAATGTGTAACGTTTAGTGTTACACCAATAACTGCTTGTGTATTTACTGATAAAAAAGTATGAGAATGTACCAAAGTATGGAGAAAGAAATTGAACATAATACAATTAGTCGTGGCTAATGTACAATTACAGGGTGGACATCATTGTATTCGAATATGCATATAAATGATGTGTACAATGCAGTAAAGGTATGAACGAGATGCATATTATAAAACATAAAACAATATTCATTAACAAATTCGGTTAAGAGTGTGCATCCACTGCGGTAAAAACATACAAAATACATTAATTACTAAAAGCCATGATCTTAAACAATCCTATTTATTCAAGGGACAATTCCGGCTATCATGATGGCTCATCTCATTGCACAAACAACAAAGTCTCTTGGATAGAAACCTCTTTGGAAGACTTGATCCTTCATCTTCAACCTTTATTCTTGGCTTGTTGTGGAGGATGAACTGTGATGACAAAAGGCATACCGGAACCACAAAAGGACACAATTATTGACTGCTTCATTGATGAACAAAATATGGCTACATGAAACATATGAACTTTGCCCAACAGAAAAATATGAACTAAAATTAAACGAAGAACAAAAAATGAAGAACTTAAACAGAAAACAAGAATTACGCAGATGAAGAAGGTGACAGTAGCAACTGATAATTGTACGCTTCAATCAAATTTTAAAAATAGGGCCACACAATCATACACAAAAATCTGCAACTCTGCAAATTATTTTGTATTGAAACAGAGCTAAAACGACTATAAATTTGTTTTTTGTATTCAAACGATGTTTTAGGGAGATTTTTTGTATTAAAATGAATATATTGATTGTTTTGTATTCAAACGAAGTGATAGGCATACCTGATTCGGATTCCATGGATTTGACGAAAAAGTGATTAACCTACCTTGGAATTGAACGTAACAAGAATGGAGAAAAGCAAAATGGAAAAGAAGGGATAGTCTCATACGGCAAACTCTTGATCGCAGGTATGGAAACGAAGCTATTAACGGAAAGAGGGCTGGTAAACTGTACGTGATTCTCTTTCCATGGTTAGAGGTGAATGTAATGGCCAATACACCCTCAAGTCAATTACGGTCTTGGGTTTAAAATTAAAACAACCGCACGGAAATAATACTTAGATGGATGGCTAGGATCATTTTGTATTTTGTAAATTAAGTCACATTTGTATGTGATCCCAAATCTATATATATATATCGTTATTTATAATATATTTCGAAATATATTTATATATACATTTCGTTGTGTATTTATATATTATATACTACCTCCGCCCCCCTAAGTTTGGGACAAGAGAAGGTGGCACGGTTATTAATAAAAGTGGGTTTATGTGGTTGATATTGAATTGATTATTGATAAAGTAAGAATAAAGTAAGAATGACTTAGAATCACACAAACTTTACCAAATAAGGTATGCGACAATCTTAGTGGGACGGACCAAAAAAGTAAAATGGGACATTCATAGCGGGACGGATGGAGCATAATATATTTAAATATTTATTTATAAATTATTACATAAATATTGTTGAATGCCTATTTGGTAATTCGGTTTTAC